AAATGACGCAGCAGACTACCCTTGCAGCAAATTTGCGCTCCAGGAGGTTCATGATTGTGTTCACTGTCAGGAAGCACAAGTGCCCGCGTGGAGAAAAGATGATCGCAGCGTGCTGAGGCATGTTCGGCCCGACGACGGAACATCGAAAGCATCAAGCTGTTGGAGCCGGCGGCATCCACTATCGCGGGTGCACCCCGTTGTCCCATGAACTTGTAGCTAGCGACCCGTGAGAGAAGTGCGCTGAGCAATGCACGCGTGAACCACACTTGCCATGTCTGAAGGGCGAGCGCCTCCCTCTGCGAAAGCGGGACGAAGTCCTAACTTACTACGTCAACAAGCAACGCGAAGCACTCGAACCTCGAGCGCAGAGGCAAGGCGAGCAAAAATGGTTATTTGGTACAAATGCAAGAATGAAAAAAGGGCAAAAGCCCATGCTGTACAAGATCAAGTAACTCGTAATGTAAAGGTGATTTGTGATTGTTGGGTAAGCTCCTCCTCGCCTTCGATGCGTCAGTCGAGTGGTGGGGCAGAAGGCTCTTGTGTTGCGCCTGTTTGTTCAGTGAACTTTCGCCTGGCGCCCGCCGGCTCTTGCGGTGAGGCGAATGCCTCAGCTCCGACTCCTTCCAAAGATCCCTCCTCGCGGAATGGTCCAATGGGCGGTGCAGACGGTGCGGCCGCACCGTGCGCGATGAGGGCAGCATTTGAGCCGTGGCTGGGATTGCGCTCATAAGCGGGAAGACCTCCAGTGCCCGCGTGCTCTTGGCTCGAAAGCTGCACCAAGTCTGAAGGACTAGAAGCGACAATGGTCAATTCTGCCTCGGCTTCCCTGCGCTTTTCCTCAGCTCTTCTCAGACGCTCTTCGCTCTCGAGCAAAGCAGGCGCTGATGGTCGTGCGGACGCGTTCCTGTGCTCCGCGTGCGTACCTGAGCCAAGGGCAAGCGATGGAGCGTGAGGTGGAAGCGAGCTTCCTGTGCCTCTGCCACTTGCTGACCATGCGTCTGTCGTTCGAGGCATCTCGTATTGAGTAAGTCCGGCAGATGGGGCTGGCGGTGGTGGTAAACGCATTGCTGCCTTGCCCTTACTTTCTGAGCCGAAATCGATCTCTCTATCGGTAGAGTTGGACCGAGAACCTTCGGGCACAGAAGCTGCATCCGCGTCCAATGTGGAGGACAGTCTTTCAAAGTCATCGTCGGTTAAGGTGAGGGGCGGTGCAGATGGGGCGCTCGGAGCGGCGGAGCCGAGAACCGTGTTGCCACCGCTCTCATCCACCAGGTCGCTCAGAATTTCCATGTCTGAGGCACCATAGCCTGGCGCTGACGATTCAGCCCTGGGCGCGGAAGCAGCTGCTCGCATCGCGGCAAGCACTGACTTGTCGTCCGTTGCGACGTGCGCAGAATGCGGTCCCTCCGCCGAAGCATCATGAGCTTCCTCAAAGGGCGCCAAAGAATCACGAGAGGCAGCGGCACCTGTTTGCGAAGCGCCTCGACTGGCATCGTCGAAGAATACTGACGATTCCGCCTGTAAAGATACGTTGTTGTGATCCACGGGCCGCTCCGGTTGCTTCTCTGCCCTGGCACCGCGACCTGCTAGCGCTCGATCCAATGTTGGTGCGAGAGGCGGCGCATCGTCATCGCCAGCGAGGGGTCGATGGAAGCTGGAAGACGCCCCCGCCTCAAGGCCGGCCGGCTCTGGTCGTCCGCGAGAGCCAAGGGTGGCGATGACCGAAGGTCCTGTGGACTCGTTCCGCTCGCGACTCGGAATGTATGCTGGTGGCGTCACTTCTGCATCATCTTGGTCCGCGGTATCCGCGGCATTGAGATCCGATTGATCGAGACGTCTGCCGGAACTCGGTGACAAGCTTGAGCTGTAGCCGGTGCGCAAATCCACTGATGGAGAGGAAGCTCGCTGATCTGATCCGCGCCGCTCCAATGGATGGGACGTTCTGTCGCCGGAGTCCAGCGTAGCGGGGTCGGAGACACCACGAGGACGCATGTCCATCGCGAGTCCTGGGCGTTCGCGATCGGCGCCCGCAGCATCATCGTCATACACGACCTCTACGCTCTCGCCCCTTCCGTCTCCCAGTCGAGGCGCAGTGTTTCTTCTGTGAGCGGATCCCAGTCGGCTTGCAATGGACCGTCGATCTCCGTCATCGTCCTCTCTGATAGCTCTTGGCTCTGACAAAGGCGCATCATCGCTCGAACGTCGCAGCAGGCGATTGGCGGGTGCTCGAATCCATCGACTAACAACCCTCCTGCTCACCGCAGTCGAGCTACCGGTGCTCGCCTCCTTGCTTGCGCTCCCAATACTCCTGAGCTCTTTCTCTTGCCTCTTGCGGTCTCTCTTCTCTTGTCGTTTCTGTTTCCAGCCAGCTTTTTCGCCACCAGCCCCCCGCCCTGCGTTACGCATCTCACGTTCTTCGCGCATGCGCTCGACAGCCAGATCGTCGGCATCCGCGTATTCCTCCAGCTCATCGTCATCGGACGCTCTATCGCGCAAGAATACCGCCGCACCGATGATGAGCACGATAAAGATCGCCAAAAAGATGGACACTATTATGACGGCCTTCTTTTGGAACCACACCGACCTGTCCTGCGGTCGCCATGAGGATGCCAGGCCAGACGTCCATGCTGAGGGCACCACAGTGCGTCCGTTCGACAACGTAGATAGCAAGGCGCCTCTCGGTTGCATTGTCTTGGTAGGCCGAGATGTCGGAAACGGTGCTCGCGCGTGCAGCTGAGCCGCTGATGAAGGCGTGCGTGGAAGCGGTTGAAATTCGTCGTCACGGAGATGCGCGCGCTTCCGCAATTGGGTCGCATATGCTGAGCTTTTGCTATCATCTCGTTGTTGGCAGAAGCGGGGCGTAACGTCATCTGGTAGCATCGACCAGGTCTCTGACCATGCCGGTGATTCCTCCAAGTGCAGGGAAGCTTGTCGCGGAGGCCGCGCTCGTTTGCTGCCCTGATGGTGCCTGTCCGCTCTCCCTCTTTCCCGAGCCTCGTCGAGAGAGCTGCGTGGCAAGTTGGAGTGTTGTGCAGCATGCACACCTCGATCGGACCACGACGTGCCAAGCGCATAGCTGTCGGCAGTAGGAAACGGTTGTTGGGCGAGATTCGGTGCAGGTGACGGGGTCGGTGCTGCTGCTGCTCTCGGAAACGCTGTCGGGTTGATGATCAGAACAGAGGCCACCAAGCATGTGGTCAAGCTTGTCGCGAGACGTGGTGTATGCTTGGGCGCCTCCTTTGACCGCCTTCTACGACTCTGACGGGTGAGGCCAGTAGAGCCGGACGCCACGCTCGACTGGCAAGTCTTCGCCGCCTCTCGAGGGCCCATGGCGGTCACACCGCTTGATTGTGGGCTGCCCCGAGGTGCCGAGTGAGATGAGCGTGCTCTTGTCGATATTTATGGTGCAGAGTTGCCCCTTGGCCCCGTAGGGAGTGGGCACGCTGAGACTGAGTGCTGTGCGATGCGCGTCTCTGAATGCGAAGTGAACCGCAGCGAGCGAATGCAGAGTTGTGGGTGCCAAGAATGGATATTTGGACGGTAGCACGTATCAAGGATGAAGGGAGGAATACACATGTGAGGCGCGACGTTCAAGAGGATGATTCACTGATTGAAGCACGGCGCGGAGAACCACTGCGTGACTTACCATGTAATCAAGGCGCAAACCCAAAATGGTTCGACATCGCCCGCCAAACGAGCGCAAAGTCGAGGCGGCGGTCGTGGCGGCGCGGCCGGCGCAAGCCATGACGCGGCGGCGGGCAATATGAGAGAGAGCGCGCGACGATGCGGGCCTGGATGCACCTCATCATGCGTCGCCTCAGCAGAGCAGCGCCTCATCAGCGCAGTCAAGCTATAGAACTCGTGACTGCTGTCTGCGCAGTGTAGCGTACAAGCTATCGCGACTCGCAAGACTGGCAGC